ATCAAATCTAGACATAAGATTGTCTTTGTCTAGTCTAATAAACTCCACTTTCAATGTATCTGAACCATGAAGCAGAGTGATGGAGTTCCAAATCCACAAACTCATATATCCGAAATTCTAGTCATCTTTTAGACTTTCTGAGATAATATAATACTTTCAAACATATATAACTTCTAAGAAAGACAAATGAAAACACCATATTATCAAACCAGTAAGCAAGTTTTTCAAAAAGAAAGCTATTGCAAAATATGCATTTCAAATTTTTCTGACTATTTAATTCTATTACCCAAATCACATTGCTTTACCGTATAGACGTATCAACAGCTCAGCGGCTGTTATGATCTCTACAGGAAATACCCCAAACAATACCACATTCGTCTTCTCATTAGCAATCTCATTCATAAAGTAGCCAAAGCTAGATATCTGCAAAAATAACAAAGGTTACAATTCAAAACAACAAAAACGACATCTGGATTCTCAACTGTAACTCTAAGAAAGATCAGAACGTGTTTAATTATTTATTAAGCTCGTCGGCTTCCTATCACAGTCTCCAATTTCTGTTAGTAGAATCTCAAAAGCTTGTTAAATTCTACGTTGAGTTGCGGGGCAGAAAAAGTCGTCTTGTAGCTCGCCACTCGTCCTCGTTGTTAAGAATAACTTGTATTCGAAGAGATGATAATGAACTTAATGATGGTGGAGTTTGCTGCTGAAAGGATTGTTGCTTTTGTGTGATTGTTTCAAGAAGCTTTTGGATTGGTTCGTGAGAGCACTAAATGCACAAACTAGATAGAGTTCTTTCTTGATAACCCTGTTCCGCCCGTGCTGTCTCCACCTCAGACACCTATGTCGATGGTGTTCCTTGTATCTCATAAGTGGATAAGCAGAAGCGTAACTCTGATTCGGCTAGGCCCGATGAGATGTCTCGTCAAAAAGTTATGCTTGTGTAGATTTGCTGGAGCTATTTCCCAATTAATTCATCGTCATCTTGTTCTTAAATGAATGTGGTTTACGGAGGAGTTTACATAAAGAGTGAAACAAAGGTAGTTGGAATGTTATCATTGACTTTGTTAGGAATGAAGAAAAGAATTAATTGTAAAAGAGTGCGTAAGATAATGGGTTGCAGATCATTTACTACAGAGTAATGGTACTTAGCAGAGACTCGAAAGAATACGTTGATGAAAATAATGAAGATAATACTTAGCAGAGACTCGAAAGAATACGTTGATGAAAGATGAAAGATAAAATAGTCGGCAACCCATTTAGTGAAATTAGGTTGAGAGATGGGTCTATATAAGAGTGGACCACTACGAATTAGATTAAGTTCACATATTTTGGAATTGGTCAATTGGAAATGGAAACACAATTTAGGTGATATGGTCAAATAACAGTTTGTGATTAGCTTATTTTTTAATCTGAAGTGAGCATCGGCTCTGTTGAATATATAGAACTTTTAGTACGATAAGATTATATGTTTTGAGTTAGTGTCAAATGGTTATCTTCTTTATAAATAAAGTTTACTTATCTCCCTTCTTAAGCCATCCAACTCAGCAAAAGAGAGGTGGGCGAATTATGCCACGTGGATTCTACGAAATGAATTAATGTCTGCTGATTTGAAGTTGTGCTTGGGTTGGACTTTTAACCACATTTTCGGTTGGGCTTTTGCATATCCTATTATCAAGCCCATCGAAAATAGGTTCTCCGTCTTCTCACATTCCTCCTTCGATAGCAGAATTTTTTTCAGAAACTAAAACTTCAGTCATCTCTCTGTAACATCCACATACATTAAAACGTCCTTATATCAGAGTTAAACGTGAAAGCGTAAGTACCGTTCTTTTACTCTGTTCCGATTCCAGACGTTGTACTTTTCTGCAATTCTTTTCATCCCCTCAGCTACAAAAAAATGGTTCAGACAAGACTCATTTGATTATTGGAAGCCCTTAACATTAAGAAAGGCGGTGAACTCATGTGCGTTGATATGCTCTTCCTTGATCCAGAGGTGATTTCGGCGCAAAAGTCATACTCATCAAACTATTTCGTGACTATTGATTTAGAGAGTTTGAGTTTAGATGATTTTGGTTTCTTCTGTTTAGATGATTCTCTGGCAGACTCTACAGGACTGAGTTTCTTACAATTATGGCAGAAACAGACATGTCAATGGTAAGATATGCCTTCTCTTCTACTTCTTCTTCTTCTCTTTGTCTTATGGGTTTTCAAATCTTCGTCTAAGCCATATATTACAAGATCTACTAATTTCAGAAGCATTGATTTAGTTGGATGATAAACTGACGCTGGCCAAATCAGAATTACTTGCTAGCAGAAGATCAGTGCAAAGAGATCTCCGGTTTAGACCATCCAAGCATCATAGCTTCGTGTTTTGGTACGTGGGTATGGTCTCATCTTTAAATTAATCGTGATACCCAATCCATTTCTACCACATAGCATCATAATCCCTTTTTTTCTGCTCAATTCTTTATCTCTAGGGTTTGGATTCTGGAGGCGAAAGGAGTTGTGCCTGTGTATTTAATAGATTGATATCGTTTGTAAACTCAAAAGATATGATGATACTGTCTTAAGAGTTGTTGCTGGTGCAGTTGTCAATCAATGAACGGTATATTTCACAGTTGACTACTAATTAGTGGTTACGATTATTTTTCTTATACACTTGGTGGAATACTATGCTTATGAGTTTCAGTTTTTTTTGTTATTGGTGATGGGTAACAGAAGTGAGCCAACAAGTGATCTAAGACCTGGATGAATCAGCTTGCTATCTATAATAGCTGCATATACAGAGGATCCACACACCTTACGCATGGTTAAAGCTATTGCTAATCTTTGTGGCAACGGTGAGAATAATACCAATAGTTTGATATCAAAAGAATCTTAACTTCTCTTTTAAACATCATGATCAGTCTTTTACCATAGCAAGGATCTTTGATGACAATGAACGTCAACCCCTAACAAACTTTGCGGAACATGTAAGTGCCACCCATTGTCTATATGTGTACTCGGCTCACTTTATTTAGTTCTCCATTTTTTTTTTAAATTGTCTATGCACAGAGAGGAACCATGGCGCTGGATCTGTGAAAACTAAGGCTTCTCATGGTGCGACCAGAGAAGCCCCTAAGACCAACGGTGGGCTTGATGTTGTTGAGATGGTTGAAGGAACTGCAGCTTCCATTCCAACTTTACCTGCTCACATGGAATTAATGCTGAGATGATTCCTCTTCTGGAAGAGGTGTGCACTTCCATTTACTAACAATCCATTATGCAGGCCAGTTATTTCTCACTGCGATAACTGGAATCCATATCTACTTTGACTCTAAGACTGATGTTGGAAAACACCACTATGAAAAGTAAGTCACTCTGAAACTAATATTACATATCCACCACATCGTGTGCATTAATTTATTCGTCTTTGACTTCCTCTTACATTTTCTGTCCTGTCACTTTTATCTTCCTGCAGAATGGTTGGGAATAGCACAAATTAGACTGTCTCTTCATCTAAGCCTCCTCATGCGCATAAAATAGAAACTCTCACCATTTCTGAGCTCAACCGATACACTATCACATCTGAACCTCAGGTCAACGTATAAAAGTCTATCTAAAGTTACTCTTTAAGTTATCCATTCTAATTGTTGGTGTTCTATTGAGTTCCTCTGTACGCGAAAGTTACTGGAATTCAGACATAGAAATGATGTTGTTATTTGGTGCTAGGATGTTCGAAGAAGCTTCAGAGAGAAGGCAGGGATATTCTGTAATCTGAGGACAAGTAAGTAACAGCTTAGTTCTTCCCGTAATGAACTTTCATAGAAAATAACAATATGTACCATCCTCACTATCTTTCCATACTTTACAGGAAATACCTAGGGAGGCCACTCAGGTTCAAAACTACGAGCAAAAGTGCTCACAGTCCACAAATATAAAACAGAGATGCACTTAGCTACGAAATGTTGTGTCTGAGACACCCTGCAAATGTTTGAGACAAATGTTATTTTAATATGTATCTCTACAGACTCAAAGGTTTGTATTGACAAGCATTTTCATGAGAAGAACAATATGCATTTACAAAACATTTTTCTTATTGACTTTATTCTTCTGTATTTTTTTCTTCATGGTCATGGTTCTACATTACTCTGTCACTAGAAACACCCAAAGTATGCATATAAAGATATTGTTTTACGTTTGTGCGTTTATGTGTGTTTTCACTACGTGGTACAGATATTGTAACTTATCGTATCAGAAATCTATAGCATAAAAATTTACAGGAAAAATATGACAAACCTAGAAACACAATGCTATGACTTAATAAGTGGCTAGGCAATAATAGAAATTCTCAATTAGAGCCACTCGGCTGTTACCTCACCCCTCTATAGACAGCTAAATCTATAGTAATATGCCATCCAAACAAGATTACTATTACAAGCAAATGATTAAGTTCCTCTATTCATTTGAAGCCCGTTTTCACTTTCATACATTAATAATAAAATTCAAAATCAAGCAACTACTATGAACTAGGTATAAAACTTAATATGAGATTTATATCGCTCTTCTATGATAACAATTATATTTTTTTGTCCACATAACAATTATACTAATTTGTCTATGCCATCTTTTTCCAAAATTTTAATTTTTTATGTCATTTTTTTCCAAAATTTTAATTCCTATATGTCATACATGTTAAGCCTTCTCATAAACAAAAATTATTTAGCAAATTAATAAACAATCAAACAAAATGATTTATAAATATATAAAATTCAAATGTCAAACAAACCGCGCGGAGCGCGGAAACACTACTAGTATTTAATAAAAATATAGAGCTACATATATGATTCTTATAAAAATATTTGAATACGAAACTTTATTTATTTTATACATACGAAACTTACTATAAACGTTAGCGTAGGAATTTGTTTTTTTATAAAATAAATATTTTGTCTGTCCTAAACATTACGCAATATAAATAGTAATCAAATTTCAAATAAGTACAACTCTCATTGATCATGTTGAGAAATCTGAGAGGAAGATTTCTCCTCTTCTCGAGCAACGCCACAAAGGTGCGATACTCCACTTGTTCAGCCGCTATTACACTTTCCGATGAACAATCCTCCTCTGTCTCTCTCCCTGATTCCCAGAACATACCCGAATCTCCTCACGTCTCCGTCTCTCGAGACACAAGAGATTATATTTCCACAATCCTCACCTGCAAAAACGTCTCAGAGGTTGGGAAAATCCACGCCCAAGTAATCATCAACGGCTTCTTACAAGACCTTCCCGTCGCAAACAAGCTCCTTTACATATACTCGCAGTTCAGAGCGATAGCTTACGCAGAGAAACTGTTCGATGAAATGACCGTTAAGGATTCCGTCTCCTGGAGCGTGATGGTTGGTGGGTTTGCGAAAACTAAAGATTTCGTCAACAGCTTGCGAGTTTTTAGAGAGATTCTTCGATCAAGTTTGAATCTTGATAACTACACGTTGCCGATAGTGATTAGGGTTTGCAGAGAGAAGAGAGATGTTGTCGTAGGTAGGTTGATTCATGAAGTGGCGTTGAAGTCTGGTATGGATTTGGACTGTTATGTCTGTGCTGCGCTTGTTGATATGTATGCCAAGTGTGGAGAGATCGGTGATGCGTGTAAACTGTTCGATGAAATGCCTAAGAGAGACCTTGTGACTTGGACGGTGATGATTGGTGCGTGTGCTGATTCAGGAAGGCCTGATGAGTCGTGGGTTTTGTTTGAAAGGATGAGAAATGAAGGGATTGTTCCTGATAGAGCCGCTGTTGTCACCATTGTTAACGCTTGTGCTAAGCTTGGAACTTTACACAAGGCGGTGATACTTCATGATTACATCAGGCTGATGAATTTTCCTATTGGTGTGGTTCTTGGAACAGCTTTGATCGATATGCATGCTAAATGTGGGAACCTTGATGCTGCGAGAGAGATGTTTGATTCGATGAAGGAGAGAAATGTTATCTCGTGGAGTGCGATGATTGCAGCTTATGGGTATCATGGGAAAGCAACGATGGCTCTTGAGCTGTTTCATTTGATGGTTGGTGATAGAAGGTTACCTCCTAATGAGATCACTTTCGTTTCACTGCTTAATGCTTGCAGCCACGCAGGGTTTGTCAAAGAGGGCATGGAGATATTTGATTTGATGACAAAGTATGGCATTAAGCCAAACGTGAAACACTATACTTGTATGATTGATCTCTTGGGTCGAGCTGGTAGGCTCAATGAAGCTAGTAAGATGATTGAAACCATGGCGATAGAAAAAGACGAAACTTTATGGGGTTCTTTTCTCGGTGCTTGCAGGATTCATAAGAATGTAGAAATGGCTGAGAAAGCTGCTAGATCCTTGCTTGAGCTACAGCCACATAACTCAGGTCACTACATTTTACTCTCTAATATCTATGCAAACGATGGTAAGTGGGAGGAGGTTGCTAAAGTTAGAAACTTGATGAACCAACGAGGTTTAAAGAAGGTCCCTGGTTATACTTGGATTGAAGCTAATAACAGAACACATAGGTTTAAGGTTGGGGACAGGACTCATCCTAAGTCTAAGGAGATTTATGATGCTCTCAAGGATTTGACTGAGAAGCTTGAAGAGGCAGGTTTTGTCCCTGATACAAACTTTGTGTTGCATGATGTCGATGAAGAGGTTAAAGTTGGGATGCTATCTTTACATAGTGAAAAGCTAGCGTTAGCGTTTGGTTTGATCTCGACTCCTGAAGGTAGTCTCTTGAGGATCACAAAGAATCTCAGAGTTTGTGGTGACTGCCATAACTTTTTCAAGTTTGCATCATTGGTTACAAGGCGAGAGGTTATTGTAAGAGATGCAAACCGGTTCCATTGCTTCAAGGAAGGTTCTTGTTCATGTGGAGACTATTGGTAACTTCAAGTTGAATCTTGATACCATGGTTAGATCCAGCTGAAATTATATTCGATGTATCTCCAAAATTATATACTATTTTTTAACACTACAAATTATATTTGATCCATCTCATAGTTATCTAGTACGTTTTTTACCATGTCATTGTTGTTTTGACAACCCTCAAAATTATTGACCAGGAGGGTTGACTTCTGATTTGTAATAAAAAAAGAGTTGTTTGGTCAAAATTGCCAATATATCACATTAGACTTCCAGTTTTAGCGTGAGAATAAGATTATTTTACAGATTCACATTATCTTCAACCAGTCAAGTCTCTCCTCATTCTTCTATATAAACATCGCAACGAATAATATTTATTTCATGCACTACAAAAAAAAGTAGTATTGAGAACACATTATGATAACTACAAAAAAAGTAGTATTGAGAGCACATTATGATAACTACAAAAAAAGTAATATTGAAAGCACATTATGATAACATTGTTTTCTGAACTGCTAAGAAAAATCTAATTTTGATTTTGACTATACTAATAACATTAAATTAATATTATTTTGGTAAATTAGTGAGCAGGAGAAAAAAATCATAATACAAATACATAGCTGAAAAATTAGAACGAATAATATTTATTTTCATGCACTACAAAAATAAAGTAGTATTGAGAGCACATTATGATAACATTGTTTTCTGAACTGTTAAGAAAAATCTAATTTTGATTTTGATTATATTAATAACATTTAATTAATATTATTTTGGTAAATTAGTGAGCTGGAGAAAAAAATCATAATACAAATACATAGCTGAAAAATTAGACTAAGTGCCAAATACATATTTTTGGCGGTTTCAATAACACTATCAAAAGTATATAATAGCATTTTCTATATGCTAAGATATTTTGTTTTTTTTCAAATTCAATAGTATATATCTAGACCCCAAATCTGTTTCCATATTCCCCAAACCCCATATACTTTACTTGAAACCCTACATATTGTACCGTACCATGAAATTTTAAATCTAAACATTAAAACTAATATTTTCAAACTTAAACACCAAATCTTAACACATAAACTACAAATCTAATCTTTTAAAAATTGTATTCTTAAATTTCACTCTAAATCCTAAAATCCACACTACAAACATAAGTATTATATTCTGAACTCTAAACAAAATTTTAAACTCTAAATCATAAATATAAACCATATCACTAATCTTTTCAAAATTTAATTTTAAATTTTTAACATAAAATCAAAATTTAATTTCTTTCTAAAATCAATCTCAAATCTTAAAATCCAAACTCTAAACACCATACTTCAAACTTAACTTTATACCGTAAACTCCAAACTACACTAGAAATCTTGTACTCTATATATAAATCGAATCTCTAATTTTTTTTGTAACTCTAAACCTTAATTTAAAAGTTTAAAACTTAAACTCTAACCTATATATCATAAACACTAAACTCTATTTCGTATACCTTAATATTAATAAAAGAGTTTTACTTTTAAAATTATAAATTCAAATATTAAATATTAAAATGTAGATGTTTTCTCTAAATAATTTGTATTTAGGAAAAAAATAAATTTTATATATTAAACACACAAAATAATGGTGTTCAAACAAAGAATAGAATAACAGCTAAAATTTTTTGATTGGTCAACGTAAAGTGACATATCACATACAAAGGTGATGAACATGGTTTGTGTAACCACAACCATTGATAAAAAAATTTGAATGGTCCAGATTCATCGTGCTCCATCTCCTTCGCTCTCGTATTGACAAATTTTGGGACACTTTTTGTGAAGTGTCCCAAATATAGATAATGAAATGACTTGTATTAACAATGAAATGTACATGGAATTTATATATACAGAGGACACTAGGGTTTTAGACTAATGACTATACGATCCTTTACATATCTAGACTAGTTTCCTTAATACACTCCCGCAAGATGGAGGGGCCTTGGACACTCCAATCTTGGAGCAAGCATATTGAAAGTGTGAACGAGGTAATGGTTTTGTTAAGGCATCCGCGAGTTGATCGTGAGTTGAGATGTGAGATACACACAGAGCTCCTGTTTGAATGAGGTTTTGAATAAAATGGTAGCCGAGAGCAATGTGTTTCATGCGAGAATGGAACACCGGGTTTGCACAGAGGTATGTAGCTCCCATATTATCGCAGTAGATCACAGGGGGCGTAGGTAACTTGATGCCAAGTTCTTGAAGTAGAGATCAAAGCCACGTCAGTTCCGATGCCGTGTTGGCTACAGCTCTATATTCAGCTTCTGTAGAAGACCTTGCCACTCCTCGTTGTTTTCTTGACGACCACGAGACTGGGTTACGACCAAGGTAAATCACGAATGCGTTTGTTGATGTATAAGCATCCTTGTCTCCTGCCCAATCCGCGTTTGATAAACCATGTAGAGTGAGAGGAGATTTTCGATGAAGAAAGATTCCATGAGTCATAGTGCCTGCAAGATATCTTGGAACTCTCTTCGATGCCTGCTAGTGTTATGTGGTTGGTTGATGCATGGATTGAGATAGTTTACTCACTTCATAGGATATATCTGGCCTTGTGAAGGAAAAGTATTGTAGGCTCTCTATGATGGACCGGTATTCTTTTGCATCAGGTAGAGGAGTGCTTGCGTGTAGAATGAGCTTTAGTGTCGTTGGCAGTGGCGTAGAGACTGGTTTAGCATCATGCATCTTTGTTCTGACCAGAAGATCATAAATGTACTTCTGTTGTCGTAGATGTAACCCGTTTGCTGTCCTTGTTGCTTTTACCCTAAGAAAATAGTGTAGATCACTTGGATCTTTGATGGAGAAGCGATCCGCAAGAGCATTAAGAACAAAATCGATTGTGGCTGAGTAGTTTTCTGTGACAGTAGTGTCGTCCACATAGACTAGAACGTAAGTGACTGTACCGTTGTGTAGCCGTGTGAAAAGTGAAGCATCAGCTTGAGAATTCTTGAAGCCTGTGGTGAGAAGGTGGTGCTTGAGAACTAAGTACCATGCCCTGATGCAGGACTTTTCAAGGGTCCAAGATCAAATTAATGTAGTATAAAAGATTGTCGAACCCACAGAGAACTAGAAACTTATAACACTAAGAATACACAAGCTTTCTTAATCTAAGCAAACTAGAAGATGGATGATTTATAACAAGCTAATATCCTAAAACTATAAACAAAGGTGATCTCAAATCCAATCAACAAATAAGTGCAAGAATAACTTTTAATCAGATGATAAGGTAGAACCCATTTGATTAAGGAAAATGATCTAAAGCAATTAAGGTTAATCAAAAAGCATCCTTAAGTCTAAACAATTTAACTAAGCAATTTCTAGGTCTAGACAAATACTCATTTGCTTTCATTAATCAAACACAAATGGTCATTGGCTTAATTCATTCAAGCAATCATTAAGATTATGTTTAATAACTATCTAAAACTTCTTAGATACAAAGATCATTGGCTAAGAAGTCTTAAAGCTAAGTAAAGTTGGTTCAGTCATTTCAACATACACCTTGCGAGCAGGAAATGATCAAATCTAGAATATCAAACACACTCTACTAGCAAGGAAATACTTAGATCTACACTTAATCACACTAAATCTACCTAACCCATAGATTCAAAAAGTGTCTACTCTCTAATCTCCATGATAAACCTTAAACCCATGATGGATTCAAGGTTAATCATGTTAATGAGAATGAGAAACAAGATATAATATGAAGTATTTCCTTAAAATGATATAAAGTTTCAAGCTTTTACAATGAGGAACAAGTTTTTGAGAGAAAATGAGATACATTAGGGTTTTTAGAGGCTAAAACTATTTATAAAAGGTCCAAACTCGTCCTGGTTCAGTTGAAAAACCGGACTAAACCGGTCAACATCTTGATTTGGCTCTGTAGCGGCCTCTACATACTGCTACGTTTAGTCACTATAACACACAGCTTTCTCCTAGCGATGTCTCTTTCCTGCTACAACATGTCGCTATGTGCCTTGGACGATTCGAGCATCTAACTTCCTCTTCTTCGTTTGGTCAAGCTTTTCCCCATATCAACAGTACCACCACTGCGACCATCTTCTTCGATCCGCGTCTGCAACTCCGGTCATCACTCCAAACCACCGCTCCTCCTTCTCTGTCATGTAGTCACATGAAATTCCGCAGATTTTCATCCTCGTTCTCACCGTCGCGGCTAAGCTTCTTCGTCACTGACTCACGACCCTTGAGCTTCTCCTCCATCGCTATAGCTTAGCTTGATTTGCGACAATTCTCCACCACGGGATCTCTGGTCCAGCTCGTCTCCTCCTCTGTGACCTCCGGTGGCATCGTCACGTCGCGTTAGCCTCTCCAGTCGTGGTGGGATCGTCGTCGTCACCAAAAGATCCGGCGAGAAGAAGATCAAACAACGTCAATGGCCACTTTTAGTCTTCTTGCAAAATAAGTCCCTGGACTTTTGGTTATTTTCTATGTAGCCCCAAACTTTGGAAATTGCAGACACGCCTACGCGAATCAACCTCTGAACTTCTGAAAGTGGAATTAAATCCAAGCAACCATTCCCAAATTACAGCCATGGTCCCTGAATCTTGTGGTCTTTTATTTCTGCCCCAAACTCTGTAATTTGCAAAGATTACCTTCCAATTTTGCCCAAATCTTCTAATTGAGCTCTCCAACCCCTATTATATGCAAATGAACACACTATGCAATATATACACCTAAGATGCAATCTAAATGATCAAAATGAATCAAAACAAGACTTTAAAACTCATAAAAATCATGTCATATCAATACCCCCAAACTAGATCTTTACTTGTCCACAAGTAAATTTTCAAAACAAAACAAAGGAAGAGGTTTTAAAGTGAGAACTTAAATCTTAGAGTAACAAAAAAAGTATTCAACTCAATGTCCATCAAAGTAGTTTTAAAGTGCACCTATGATCTTTACTTTAAAAGAGTTAGCCATACTCATCACTCATGTATTGCTTTAGAACTAAACTTTCAATGTAATTACAAGAAACCAATGGAACTCAACTCTTTAACATTCATTAAGTGTTAGTGAACTCTCTCTCAATCAACTTAAATCACAAATCAATGG